CAAGGATTGCACCAGGGATAGAAACTATCATAACTGTATTATATTAATATATATGTAATATAATAATAATAATGTAATATATATGTTATAATATATGTTTTTTTTTCGGAGAAAATTGCATTATGCTCATTTGTCAAGAAACAAATACATGAACTATGTTAAAACAGAGATGAACATTGGCAATTCTTCACAATTAACACTTCCATTTTAACAGAACAAAGAGAGATCTATAACATTTCTCAAAATCCGCCCTCTAATCAGTTCTTAGAAGCCTTGGCCCATTTAAACAAGACAAATCGCAGTCGAAAACACTTCAAGCAAATAATGACATATATAAATATCGAAAATATTTATATATTTTATAATATAAATATACCTATTTAATAAGTAAAATTGTCTAGCAAAACTTGACGTAAGCCTTCATCGTGGAGGTAATGGAATGATACAAGTCGTGTCGTACACTTATATGTCCGTATTTTCGCATAAAACACGACCATTAAAATTCCAAAACATTCTAGTTAAAAAAACAACATAAATTTAAAAAATAATAAATATAAACAAAATTATTTTACGTTTTTTCAATCAAATACGTTGCTTTTTTAAATATTTAACTTAAAAATCATATATTATTTATGAGGAAGAGTTATAATAATTTTAGGTTTTATGAATGAAAGGCATCTCTTCCATTTTTTTTTATTCTTTCAGTTTGACTTTTCTTGTTATTAACTCATCATTAAAGACTGTTAATTCTGATAGTTGATATCTCACTGTCATACAATGGATGTTAACCATTCGTCAATGGTTTAAAAAATAATGTTAAATTGGAATACATAATTTCAAATATTTCAGAGGAATATTTGAAAGCATTTATTTTTATTTAAAACTTATTTTTCAAACAGGTGACTAATGGTTAACAGGCATAGTATTACAATAAGATATAGGTGAGATATCAACTATCAGAATAAATTGTCTTTAATGATAGGCCAATAGGCCTAAACGTCAAGTTAAAAGAATAAAAAAAAAAAAAACCAATGCAAGAGATTTTTTCATTCATAAAACTTATAATAATTAGAATTACCTTACACTTGTGGAAGTAGATAGATGACATTGATGTAAATTTTTTTATTTATTACATTTATATAATAATCATATTAATTATGTAGTATACAACATTTGATTGAATGTTTTGGCTACCGTCGGGTTTATTGGTTTAGACACCTCAGGTGAAAGTTTGGATACAAGGCAGCTTTCCTTTTTTTCTTGTCCAAACAAAGGGAGATAATTATCTTGAAGAATGGATGTACAAATAATCTTTTATCTTTTCATCTGTTTTTAATCTTAATTTTTCTATTATCGTTGAATAACGAATTTAATAAATCTGGCCATTACATGGTCGTTTGTGAAGCATGTAAAAACAGTGGTCCGACACCCTCCTGTAGGGACAGTGCAGTTGCTATTATTCTGCCTGCATTGCCATTGACCACCCACGTCGCAGGCAAGCCGTTATGCCTGCCTACTTAAGAGTTTCCTTTTGTCTTTTAGTTTTGGGGCCAAGGCTCCAGTTGAAGATTCTGGGCCCTTTGTATCGGTTTGTCAAACCAAGCGTTGACGTCACTGGACTCCCTCCCTTTTTGTTCATGGCGATATTATGTAGTACCATCATAGTCAAGAAATTTTATTTAAAATTAGATCAAAAGAAGAAATTGTGTTGAGATTTCTTGCAGTCTGTAGGTGGTGTATTTTTTTATTGTTGAAATGAAATTTACTGGTCTGCAATTCTTTATCTGTCCTTACGTTGCCTGAATTGGTGAAACGTTGACTGGTTATTAGTTATTTACTGATATGTTTGGATTTGGGGTTTCTTATTGGAATATTCCAACTATGTCTTGCATTATGTACACAGTAAAAATTCTCTGTAGCGCATACTTACGGAGAACCAAAATTTGTCCGTTATGGAGAGATATCAATTTTAGAAAAATTGGAAATTTTAGAGAAAAGAATATATGTTTTCAAGATCTCAAGTCTAGAATTATCCATAATGGTCTTAATCCTACCTATGTTGTTGACTTGGTCAAAATAGAGAGGCAGTTTTTCTTTCCTTTATCATCTCCACACCCACTCAAACCCATTAGTACCGTGTTTTCCCAATCGACTCTCAGCAAACCTATTGCTTCTCGCGGCATCTCGAATATATAGTATAGCTTTGTTCTAGTCTTATGCAAAAAAACAGCTAGATGCTACTGGTTTGCCAAGGATTGCACTTTTCATTGCAAATTCCGTGATGCAATATATTTATCGGAAACGACCTCCGAGCCAAGAACAGCTGCAGTTAATGTCCGCGCCGCAGGTGGGCGAATCCTGCATGACTCAACTCTTAGTCCTTCTGACCTTTAGCAGTTTTCTGCCATTTCCTGGAGGTCTTCGAGCTCTTACGGCCTTCTGGATCTATAATCTATATGTCACTTGCTGGGGTATACTAACTTGGATCTTATCTCCAGTACTGCTTTTTCAATACTAGATCTCTTATCATTTACGCAAGGATACAGTACATCGTTATCTATTATTAATTATAGTATTTCCAGGTGTTTATATAATGGAAATATGTTCATTTGTATCTTTATTTATAAACCCGCATCTGTCTTCTTCTTAGAGATAAAAATCTGGTGCACGCAACACACCACTTGTAACTTACCGCTCTACTTTGAATAGAAATTATTTTCTGGCCATGTTAGGCTATTATAAAATTTTTGAATTTTTTTTTTAACTCAGATAAAGCTAAAAAATTACAGCTAATAAATCATAAATACCATTAAAATAACAAAACTCCTATTTATTAAATCACCAGCTGATTGTGGATTGTACGACTATTAGTTATTAAACTGTTATTTTCCATTGCAAAGTTTGCTAAGACAAAATTAAGAGATTTGCATTATCTGACATAGACAGGTCAAAAGTTGTCACACTAATTCTAAGTGGATACTTTTGGAGTATCACAAAAAGAAATTTCATCATACTGTTCACTAATTTAATGTTCTAATAGTTTACTTGATGGTTTTTTGTAATAAACGGACGATAGATACCTAAATATTTAAATATAATATCAGATCTGGAGTTATTAAACTACAGTAAATATATTCATAAAGGTACCTATGAAATATTCTTATATTTCACTTCTTCTTTCACACAAGTACAATGGAATAGTAGTGAATACCGTTGGAGTACCACAAAGAGAAGATTCGTCAAATTATTGTCTAATTTAATTTTCTAAAAAGTTAGATGACAATATCTCGGAATAAGAGGACGTTGATACTAATTATTTAAATATAATATCGGATTTAAATGTATTTAAGGTTATAAACATATGCTTTTCACATCCATGAACTGATGGTTCATAAATAATTCTTTCACACTAGTACGACTAAATAGTTTTTTTAACAATGCCATTGCCTTAATTGGGTGTATTTTAAATACTTTTTTTTCGTCAGGTTAGTTTTCTGTCGGAAATATGAATTTTTATTAAAATTATTTTATTCAAATATTTATTTGAAGGACAAAGTTTGTGAGAAAAAAATGAGAGAAAACTATAATATATATAAAATTTTAATATGTAATAAAAATTATATACGAGTATATGGGGAGTGTAGTACCTCCCTGAGCTCTTATGCTCCGCGTCAAGAGATCGAGTCCAGCTGTGGTAGGTAATTATTTATTCTGTTACATCTGCTGTGGATCGATCATCGGTTGGGAGACTCTCTTGGTGCACACCTAGTCTGTATTAAGTGGCTAATCTTAAATAAATAAATAATTAAGGGGGAAAAATTGATGTTTGAACGTGATTTCGGCCCAATCAACTCCTTGCACAACCAAACGGTTGCCTTGAAACGGTAATTTCATAGCAAATACTGGACCTAAAATCGTCCATGATTTGTAGTGTCCCATGTTTGTATATATATATATATATATGTGGATTGTTTTTCTATTGTTAAATAATCTTCATTGGAATAAAAGTGGATAGTGCCTTGATATAGATAACATTTTATTTATTACAGTCATTATACATAGATAGATAGATAGATAGAAAAATAATTTTATTCTGGAACGTCCCTTAAGAATAACAGAATGCTACGGAAAAAAAGTAACATTATATACTTGTTTGTATAAAACTTCACAATACCAATCCCTTAAACTTAGTTCAAGTTTAAACTTAGTTTCTAGGTCACCTTGGTGACCTGAGAAGCACCATGGAACGAACATGACTTGTTACTCGTTACTCCTAGCGGTTGTTCGTCAACTAGGAAACAAGAACAACAGAATTACTCAAGAATCTCTCACGGCACGTCATTTCTGTGACACACTCCAAACTGAAACTTTCGCATGACATAATTTTTTTTTCTCACAATATGTTATTGGGGCGAGGAGAAGTCTTAGTATGCCATTCAACTCCACAAAAACTACCGTTTGGATTTTTTTTTTTAGAATTTAATTTAAATTTTTGTTCAATAAAATAAAACTATTTTTTTAGCTAAATAAATAAAACTATTTAAATAGATTTTAATATCTATTTATTCATTGATTATCTGTAAGCAAAGGAATTATTAAAATATTGGCATGAAAAAGGAATTTAGATTTTTTTTTAATCGTTAATAAAGAAATAACAGTTTTATAGTCTTCATTTCTCAAAAATAATTTGTTACTATCATTAATCATTAAAAAATATCAATGATATAATATTTATAATGAGCTATTATTTATAATTTAAATTACATATTAATTTCGCCTTTTTGAGATTTTCACTTCTATCGTGTGGTCTAAAGCACACACCTTAGTTGTTTTTTAATTTAATTTTTTACAAAGGATTAAAAAAATGGGTATAGACTTTGTTAACAGAGTAATATTATTATTTTGTAATACTAAGTACACTTCCAGTTCACTATTGGCAGAGAACATACCAACGAGTATATACCATCCAGTTAGTAACCCTTTTAGCTTATCATACATTAATGTCCATCGTAAAGGGTTTAAACCCAGGTCATATAGGGGCTCACATCTGCCTTAAATTGATTACCTTAAAAGCTTTGGACTCTGCTCCTACTGACCAAGGAAGGTCTTGTTGCCATATGGTCTTAGCTTTGTTCCAGCACGTGGCTAAGTACTCCATTACTTTATCCAATCGGAATTTAGTTTCTAAAAAAAAAAATTAAGACAATTTTCCATTAAAATAATGTATATGGAAATTATGGAAAATAGTCAGGATATGGAGTATTTTTAAGTTTGCTCAAAAATAAAAATTTAAAAATACAAAATTACTGTCATAGATAAACGTATGTAAATATGAGATGATAAAAGATGGAACGAACTATATGACATTGCAGTAATATAAACATAACAATACGCCAAGAAAATGTTTTTTATTTTATAAATAAATACAAATAATAAATTTATAAAAATAAAAATAAATTTTTTTTTTTTTTTTTTTGAAATCTATTTATTGAATAATAATACAATCAGCCACTGCTGGAGGGCTATAAGCATTAGGGCTAAAAGTTCTCATTCATACAATATATACAAATAATAAAGAAATAAATATAAATATAAGAAGTAAATAAATAATACTGATGAAGAAGGTAAATAAATAAAAAAAAAAATAAAATAAAATAAAATAAAAACTTCTAAACACAATCATAACTATATACAATATATACATTTGCCCAAGAATCTCCGAGCCAGGCTTTTACCTCCACACGCGGAAGGCAAAGCAAGACTCCGGAAGATCCCAGTGCCACTTTTCCAGTCGCATCACTAGTATTAGAAGCCAGTGGAGACTGAAAGAGGGCAATACAGCCACAGGCGCTCAGGACATGAGTGGAGAAGCTGGCCATTGCCAGGACTCCAAAGGCATATTTACAATAGATCTCGAGGCCACAAAAAATAAATTAACTAAATAGTGTAAGCACTCCAGTGATAGACATAGCTACGGATTTTTTTTTTTTTTTGTATTTTTTGGCTTATACCGCCGTAATTGTTATATTTATAAACTGGTCTGTTGAAAATTTAGAATCTCTAGGGTCTCCTTTTTCTATTTATCACTTTAAAAATGAAAAAAAAAAAAAATATTCAATTATGCAAGTTTAATCTCCAATTTAAAAAAAAAAAAAAAAACACCTTTTTGCACTAGTGATGGACAGTCCAAACTTCAATTGTTCTAGTAATGGACAGAGGCTAGGTACCAGTAATGGACATACATCAGAAAACTTCTAAATTTTTATTCAACTATAAAGATAACGATAAAGATAAGATTATATAAATGTTCAACTTACTCTTAGCAAAACTGTTAGGTGGAAGGTATGATACACTGATCTCAAGAGCACTATAGAAACAACAATGAAAGACATTTTAAAAGTTTATTTTGTAAACTTTGTTCATACAGTTGTCAATTATTCTTATTATTATCATTATTCTTCAATCTAGAAAAAACTGGAACCTTATTATTTACATTTAAAGTCCAACCTGTTTATCACTGGCTTCCTGTCCAAAACTGGTGCGTTCACCCTAATAAGTACAAATAAATAAGAAATATACAAACAGTATGTGGATTGAGTATGTGAGTAATTTTTTTAAAATTAAAAAATAAAATAATTGGAACGAAATAGGCAACGTTACAATGTAAGATTTAGCAACAGATAGAATATATGGAGCAAAATAAGAAATCCAAACTATATAAATAAAAATTAAAAATAGTAGATTAACAATTACCAATCGTGTCGTTGACACGAACTGAGCGAATGTATACGGTACGACATGGATTTGTGTGGAGAATACTTTTTAAAAGTATTTAAAACCAATTCCTTTTTAAAAACTAATTTTTTTCTAACAGTGAAAATATTATTTTTTTTCAGCTAAGCTTATGTTAGTTTATTTATAGATTCTATCCATGTTGTAAGAAAATTTAATTTTTTTTTTAAATAATCCATTTTAAGCACAAAATTTCATGTTGGTTTATTGACATAATACATTATTTTAATCAAAATAAATTTATATTAAACTCTCATTCTTTATAAAAAGAAAAACTATATCAATTCGTTATAATTAAATACAAAAATAAATATAAGTGCAAAATAAATAGAAATACAAAAATAAATAAACTTGATTTTTTCGAAAAATGGGAGTTGTAATTTATATTTATATGGACTTAATATATTAATTTATTTGGTTTAGGTACAAAAACTAACAATTTGAAAATATCGAATCAATTTTCTACTGCTTTAGTTCTTGAATAACCTCGGGCAGAGAGAAACCGGTTTGAGGCTCAACAATAGTTTTTTTTTCTGTCGTTTAAATCCCCATTTAAATTTAAAACCGAATCCTAGTGTCCCCGTTATAAATCTAATATTCCTGTGCCACATATCCTAAAATCAGTATATTTAAAAATATCTATAATGGGGCAGCTCCTCTCTCAAAAAAATCAATATAAAACTGACAACAAATACTGACAACACAATTATAAAAAAAAATTATTTACAGCGACAGGTTGATTTTTAATGTTTAAACATTTTAAACATTACTTTGGAACTGATTTCAAAAAAGGGTACCTTCTAATTCCCTTCTGTTTTGGGAAACAATTTTTTGGGCTGGTTTCGCCCTAATTTACTAGGATTAGGAACATTTAGTGGGTCACTTAATACGGAAAGGATCAATTCTCATGATACGTATGTGTATAAAACACATACTTACGGGACACACTGTATACCTAATTTTCACGTGACGTTTTTTATTATTGATACGCATTTTTCCTTATATTATTTAATTTTAATTTTATCAGACAAGAATAAAACGAAATTTACTTCCTATCTAGTGTTGCCAAAAATCGGTCTTGGTCTTGCACTTTGCAACACCAAGACCAAGGCTACCTGACTGTTGTAAGACCAAGACCAGGACTGGTAAAAAAAATCGATTCTTTTAATAAAAAATTAATTCAAAATAGTTACTAATACTTGAGAATCCTAGTTTCTATATGTTAATAATTGGTACAACCAATAGAATTTTTCATTTAACTCCTCTAATTTTTAATTGGGGCTTAGTTAGGTTTCCCCTATTTAAAAAATTACAGTAATATCTCTATAGTAATGAGCAACTGCAAGACTGTTGCGAGACTCTTGCGCAAGACCAAGACCATGTAACCAAGACTGAGTTTGCAAGACCAAGACTCGTCTCGGTCTCGCATGTGGGCAACACCAGTTATAGCTTTCCTTCGATCTGATGCATTAGATGTATTAATGACATCAGCGAAACATGTTTATTCGCATGTACCACCAGCGGATCCAGAATTTAATTATGGAGGGGATTTTAGCCCGAAAGCATTTATATTAGAAATTAACTATCTTTTTGAAATGATATTTAAGTGATTCTTGAAGTCCTATTTAATGTTCATATTGCCATCCTAACACTGTTATTACCACGTATGCCGATGATACATGTGTCCTATCCGTTAATAATGACCCAACCATTGCATCCCAAACTCTTCAATCACACATCACAAGCCTTGAAGAATGGTGTCAAAACTGGAGGATTAAAATAAATTCTAATAAATCCCATCAAATCACCTTTACCCTTAGACGTAAACCTATGACCTCATGTCCCACAGTATCCTTTAATAATACCCCACTTATCCCTGTTGAACAAATCCGATACCTTGGACTTCATTTGGACAAACGTCTAACTTGGAATCCTCATACCAGACTGAAACGACAAGAAACCGCTCGACGTTTCCGACTACTCCAAACCTTACTAGACAAACGCTCTAAACTTCCCCTTAATTACAAAAGACTCATATACTTGACTATAATAAGACCTATTTGGACTTACGGAGTTGAGCTATGGGGCTCCACTAAACCATCGAATTCCTCTCGCATCCAATATATATATATATATATATATAAATATATATATATATATATATATATATATATATGTATATATATAAAGCTTTCGGGCTGAAGCTCCTAAATTTAAACCTGGATCCGCTGCTGTCCGAAACGTAGATTAATAAACAATAATCAATAGCATAAGTGTCATTATTTTATTGAATCCACCTTTTGGCAAGAAATATTTAAAAAAATAATGAGATCAAAGTATTTAAAAAACGTCAAAAGAAAACTAAAAAGCGGTGGACGGGGCAGAAGAAGGCAGACAGGTTGACATCAGTAGCCGGCTTGCCCATGGGGTCGTTGCCCACTGACCCCTCCGTGGGGCTGCCTCCCGACACAGCTTGGATGCTCTGTCCTCTCTCTCCTCATCCCACTGCTACATATATCTTTATCTAGCACATATATCATAATACTATAAGGATCAAGTATTCACATTATTAATATTGAAATTAAATGTTGTTATTATGAGTAGTATTTATTCCCTTTAATCTGTATTTTTTTTTTCTATTCTTTATTGAGAAATATTACAATCTTTCACATCTGAGGACGATAGTAATAGTGATAGAAGAGTGGGTCATTCACACAATGCACAATAAATAAAAATAATAATACTAAAAGAAGATGTATATATTTTGGTTTATTATTTTCAATAATCAAACATTGTGATCGACCAAAAAATTCAAAAACTCAACCCCCTCTCAAAATTTGAGGTTTCACGTTTCAGGATGCGTAGAATCCGAAAAATGAATAACAATTTTTTTGTCCGTCCGCCGTCCCCGCATTTTCTCCGAAACTACTGGACAGATTTTTTTCAAATTCGGATATAAAATCAGAGGTCACCCGATGATGATCCTCCTTCATCGACATTACTATCCGCTTTTTACTTTCGAAATTGCGGCCGAAAAACCTTCGTTGCTATGGACTGTAGCTCCTAAACGAATGTACCGATTTCAATGAAACTTCGCTAAAGTCATTTTCTTGACGCCCTTTAAATTTATCTATATAACATACTTCAACGAAAAGAAGCAGGAAAAAAGTTACGAGGGATGGTAAAATTTAATTCCGAATAACTTAAAAAGCATACACTTTTTTGTTGATATTGTATATGGTTTAAAAGTTTACGGAATTTCCAAAAAAAAATATTAAAAAAGTCGTTAAAATCGGACAATTAGGAGCAAAGATATGCTGACCTGTTTGTTTTTTTATATGTTCTACTCCAAATGTTATATCCTTTGTTTGGTTTTTAAATTTTGAATGTGT